TATCTTAACAAGTAGTCATAATTATAGAATATGATATTATAGTGATTAGTTTAACATATTGTTAACACAATATAATGTAAATTTTCTTAATACATAATGAAAATATCTTCTATAAAAAATAATGTAGAGATCTAGAATATTATTCTTCTGGACTTCACGGACTTTACTTTGTAGACAGGTTTTGATATCTCAAAATACTTGGTACGCAAATTACACGTCTTGTTCTCCAAACTATTTTCGATAAATGCACCTAAAAGTGAAGAGGTTGGACATTTGTATCACACGATTCACGACCGTTACACATAATGAAGGGTTATTTTTGATTCTATCTAGTACAATATATTTATTAAAAAAAGAGAGAAAGAATTGCATGTATTCGTTCTATCCATCTCAACAATTTATTATATCGTACTTATTAAAAAATGATTCAATTTTTTGATGAGTTTTCTTCAAAATATCTTTTTGGCAACATTAATTAAGTTTAATCATTTTTTTTATTTTTGTTCTTATCTCACAACACATTTTAGATCTTGATACTTGACAAAACAATTGGTGAAAATGAAAACCACTGGCCGATAAAATCCTCAATCGTATTATATTCACATTTGGATTTTTATGAAGTTTAATTACACATTAGGATATACATTGTTGTAGTTATCTAAAGTTTTAAAAAAACACCGAAGAATCTTTCACATCGCCACGTCATCAAGATATCATTGCGTTCTCAATTTCGAGGCATAATAATATCTTACTTTTTTTTTTGAGTGAATAAAAAGTCATATAAATTGAGAAAATCCCCTTTCTTCTACAAAAATCAGATTTTCTTCTCCGTTTCTCGCTCTCTCTCTTTATCGCAAAAACACAGTCTTCCTTCTCCGATTCTCTCTCTCTCCTTTCTCATCTCTCAAATTCTCTGCTCAATTCAGTCATCGATACAGTGTTTAGGGTTTTCCTCAATCGTCGCCGATTTCTCTGGTTCGTATCTCTAAATCTCTTCTTTGTTCCTACATACGCGCGTTTCCCTGTTTTTACACACACATATATATACAAAATGTGTATGTATAATCTGTGACTTTATCATCTTCACCGGAAAAATCTCGTTCTTTTGATTTTGGGTTTTTTTTTCCTCCTCCTCTTAGATTTGAATTGATGTTGAACTTTCTTGTCCTCATGATGATGATGAGCTTTGAGAATTTTTTTCTTTCTTGGTTGCGAGAAATTTAATCGAATTTGTTGTTTTATATATATATCTAAACTTGATCTTATGATGATTAATGTGATATTGAGAATAATCTGTTACGAGTTTTTGGAAGATTCTAAAATCATGGTTATTATCCTTCAATTCAATCGGATTCGAAATTTCAATACTTTAGGGTTCTTCTTTAGCTGGATAGATAAAAAGGTTTAGTTTTTTTCTGAATAACCTAATTCTCACCACACCTTGACTTTAATAAGCTATCTTTGTGTGCTTCACATGTAAATCTGATTTACACATACGTTTGTAAAGAACTTATTGAATTTATCTTTGAAAAAACACATTTTTTGCAGACTTTTTGATCAATGGCTTTGGACCAATCCATCGAAGATGCTGCTTTACTTGGAGAACTCTATGGAGAAGGTGCATTTTGTTTCAAGAATACGAAACCAGACCCCATCACAGTCTCGGTTCCTTCTGATGATACCAGCGATGACTCGAATTTCGACTGCAACATTTGCTTAGATTCGGTGCAAGAGCCCGTTGTGACGCTCTGTGGTCACCTCTTTTGCTGGCCCTGCATTCACAAATGGCTTGATGTACAGAGCTTTTCATCGAGTGACGAATACAAAAGACATAGAGAGTGTCCTGTTTGTAAATCCAAAGTGTCTCACTCTACATTGGTGCCTTTGTATGGCAGAGGCCGTTGCGATACTCAGGACAAAAGTAAAAGCGGTGTGCCTAGAAGACCCGTAGGACCGGTTTACAGGCTTGAGACGCCAAATTCGCGTTATTCCAGTACCGATTTGCGGTTATCACAACGGGTTCATTTCAATAACCCGCAGCAAGGTTATTACCCTGTCTCAGGGGTGCTGAGTTCGAACAGTTTATCATACTCTGCTGTTCTGGATCCTGTGATGGTTATGGTTGGAGAAATGGTAGCTACGAGGTTGTTTGGAACACGAGTGATGGATGGTTTTACTTATCCGGACACTTACAATCTCGCAGGGACAAGCGGGCCTAGGATGAGAAGACGGATAATGCAGGTGGATAAATCGCTTGGAAGAGTCTTCTTCTTTTTCATGTGTTGTGTGGTTCTGTGTCTTCTACTGTTTTAGAGAGTTCAAGTCACTAGCTTTGTCCAATTGTTCACTTTCTTAAAGTGCAAGGAAAAAACATAGACAAAGAAATGTACATTTGTGTTGGAAACAAAATCAAAGTTGCTTAATGTTGACAAGTTTTTGTTAAGGTCTTGATGAAAGGGAATGTTAATAGGTGTGTATGATTCAGAAGACCTCGACTCTGTTTCCGCATATGGAATGAATACGGTGTCGTTTTTAAAGAAGGCTATTTTTAAGAAAACGGCCCAAACTCTCACATGGGCCCAAGTCGTTGTGGAGTCCACCTCAAACTTCCCGCCGGCGACTAGCCTGGTTTCTTCGGTTGCCTCTTGACGTTTGCGACTCGCTCTTCATCAGTCGGCGGCAGTAATCTCGTGACCGGCACTGCAATTGAAGATCGAGATGAATCCGTAGCCATGAGCAGGTGAAGAAGATCCATTTTCGACTATCAGTGGTTAATTAATCAAATAGCTTCACCGTAATGGTTCTCTTGATTTCCGTTTTAATTCTTCTTGTGTAAGTGGGAAGTATACATAACACTATCACCACCAAAATCAAGAGGAGAATCATAACGGTGAAGCTATTTGATTATGGACAATGGTAGAGATTTTTTTGTTTCTGATTATTTTAAGACTACTTGTTCCCACAATTGCATGTTAGTATGTTACTATAAGACAAGGTAGCTGTAGCTGTTTCCTGCTATATCTGTTGTTTAGTTGTTCTGAATCTCTTACCATGTACATGCAACTAGTCCAAGATTCCTACATAATTCAGAGTTAGATTGGTAATTGTTATTATATATAAGACAATTCATAAGTATGTTATAGCTTTGATTACCAGAGTTTCAGAGTTACAAGCATAATCTCTCAGCGTACTTGAGGAGGTCAAACACATCATTAAGGAGTCCAAACAGCTCCAGTTTGTCTTGCCTGTTTCCTAGTAAGTTCGCTTTATTACATCTATGGATCCAGAGACTTATCGGGCAGTGGTTATGGGTAAGCTGCAAGATTTCGACAGGGTTCTGCAGGAAAATGAAATTCCTGTTCTTGATCAGGTCACTTTTCAAGGAAATACGATCCTGCACCTTGCTGCTATTTATGGTCATGACCAACTAGTGAGGCGTATCCTTGACCATGAGCTAAACGTTCTTAGAAGTTGGAACCCTCACTTAGTTGGTAACTTTTCTCCCAATTTCTCCCATTATCAGACTCTTTTGGTGAGACAAAACTCCAAGGGAAACCTCGCTCTCCATGTAGCAGCTGCTGCAGGACACGAGGTGATAGTTGACCTTCTTGTTGAATCCCTAAGGCGGCTTCCGCAAGATAGAAATATCGTGCTTGGATTAGAGCAGATAGTAGTTGGAAATATTTTAAGAGTTTCCAACAATGATGGGGATACTGCGTTGCATCTTGCCCTGAAAGGAAACCATGTAGCTGTTTCCTTGCTACTTGTTAGCGAAGATCGGAGCACTTGCTTTCTTCTGGACAAGGAGGGTGTATCTCCATTGTATATGGCGGCTGAAGCTGGACATGTTGCACTTTTAAACCATATGTTACAGGGTTTAGATGCAAGCTTTGTTGGGAAGTCAGTTTTGTGTGCAGCAGTGAAAAGCCAAAATCTTGGTCAGTTTTGTTGATCCAGTGAATTTCATCCGTTTCCTATGCTGTATCATGTGTTCAACATATGAGGTGAATCTTAATGATTTTGTATCTGTTGTTTTTTTTTTTACTGTCCTGGCAGATATACTAACAGCTATACTGGAGAGTGACTCAGATCTGGTAGACTCAAGGTGTGAAGATGGAAGAACTCCACTTGCCTTTGCAGCATCCATTGGCTATGATATTGGAGTGCAACATATGTTAACCAGATTTTCAAGTTCTACACAGATTGCTTACATAAAGAATGAAGATGGTTCTTTCCCCATCCACTCAGCCTGCATTGCAAGTCGCACCGCATCCCTCAAGTTGATCGTAAAACACAACCCAGACACAATAGAGATGCTTAACTTACGGGGTCAAAACGTTCTTCATGTCTCTGCTGAAAGTGGGAATGCAAGAGCTGTTACCTATCTGCTTAGAAAGGCTGACATCAAAAGGTTAATCAATGAAAAAGATGTAGAAGGAAACACACCGTTACATTTAGCCAGCATAAATTCTCATCCCAAGGTTGTAAGTCTCTTCATACATGATCATAGAGTTGACCTGAAAGTACTGAATAACAAAGGATTCACCACTTTAGATGCAGTGGAAGAGCATATGGCAGCGATTCCTTCACTCCAACAGGTTTGCCTCCCATTGCTTTTGTACACATTTTCATTTTTAGCGATATGAAGCTGGTAAAATCACTGAACATATTCTATGTTATATGCATTTAATTTTCAGTGGTTGATATGGGTGGCATTGGTGTCTGTCGGTACCACTAGGGCTCCACGTGTTCATCTGAGAGCAGACCGTCCTGGTCCTACGACAGATGAGGACTTAACTCTCAAAATTTACAAGGACAGAGTGAACACTCTCCTTGTGGTGGCAACACTCGTGGCTACAATGGCTTTTGCTGCAGGCTTGAGTGTGCCACTAGGTTACAACAGCACAGAGTTCAAGTCAACTGTCAAGCATTCTTACGAAGAATCAGCATTCCGCGCTTTTGTCATCTGCAATAGCATTGCCGTTTATTGTGCTGTTATATCGACAGTTGCTCTTATAGGGACACAACTGGCTGACCTGAAATGCACACTGACCACTTTCAAGTTTATAGTGCCACTTTTGGGGTTTTCTATTATCGCAATGTCTCTGGCTTTTGTCGCAGGCTTGTACTTGGTCCTGGGACAGCATTATTGGCTTGCCATATTTGTCTTGGCATCAGGTGGCTTCTATCTCATGGCTCTTCTTCTGCTCATCATCCCTTACTCTTCGCCTTATAGTTTTAATCCGCTACTTTTCCGCTATATTTTGCGGTTCCCCTTTTCCATGTTGGTTTTCTTTGCAAACTGGAGGGATGGCACTGATGGGGAATGCTCGTCACGAGTCTTTCGTTGGTCATTTATTGGTTAAAGATCAAACAAAATGTATCATTTTTCTTTCTCTAATGATCTTAAAGCTTTAAGTTTGAATTCTGAGGTGCTGGTCATAGGTGAATAGTTAAGCTTGCCTAGAAAAACTAAATTGTGTCTTGTTTTTTGTTTACTGCCTCTTATAATGTGTTCTTATGTTGAAGACTTAATTTTTTTTACTTCATTCTCTTACTTTTTATTGTGTGGCCTTTCCTAGCTTGGTGCTGTTACTTAAGATAGACAAAGAAATAGAGATTTTTTTGATATGAACACTCTTCGTAAGAAATAGATTCTTCGTAAGAATGCTTTTGCTGCAGGCTTGAGTGTGCCACTAGGTTACAAAGAAATAGAATGTTCGTAACAGATTATTCTATGTTATACGCATTATGCAAAGTCAAAGTTTTGCTTTAAGAACTGGTCTTTTTTAAATACATGATGTTGGAGTGTGAACTCATTATTCTCAACGTGGGAATAAAGAGGACAACGATTTACTTTCCTACAGCTCTGGAATCGAGGTTTAAAGGTTTACTTTGCGATTAAACAAAGACCTTCCTGTTTCTGCTTTGACTTTGAGACACTAAAGGAGAGAACATAGAGTACTCTCATTCGTCAAGCTTTAGCAACAACTCCTCTTGAATTTCTGATCATCCTTACTCGACTTGGTAAGGCTCTCTCCTCCCCTTCGACTTGGTTGGGTTTGAAACTATCTTGTTTTGTAACAATTTGTGAGTTGGTTTAGGTTTAGGTTTGAACATAACAATGATGACTCCTTCTATATCTTTCTGCGTTGAATATTTCCTTCTTCATTATTTCTGATTAAAAAAAGACCTTCCATTATTTTATAGGTGACTTCTCTGCACTCACATGGCTTGAGAGACATTAGATGATTTATATAAATGGACGAACTTATAGCCTTCTCTCTCTCTCCCTTGTCAAGCTTTAGCAGCAACTCCTCCTCTTTCATTTCTGATCTCCTTCTTCAACTTGGTAAGTCTCTTCTTAGAATCGTTGACTCTTTTTTTTTGGTGAAGGAACTTAAAACGATTTAGGTTTGAGATGGAGAGTTGCGAAGCAGGTTTAGATAGAATTGAGGCACAGAGCCCAACCGATGTGTCTCGTGACCAACGGAAAGGAAGATACTTCCCAATGAATCTCATAAAGAAAGGCGCAAACACACTCTGTTCACGAGGTTTCTTTCAAAGCAGAAGAGATGGCTCCATGCCACCTACTGGAGACACCGAATCTGGGACAGAGTTACTTACCAATCTCACATTGTTGGATCTTTACAACGTCCCCGGTGAATCAGCGGAGATGAATTCGGAGATCTTTAGCGCAATGAGACGTGGGAACAGAGAATTTTTTGACAAGATGAAAAGATGGGAAACACCAATGGCATGCTTCAAGAATGACAAAGGAGATTCAATTCTTCATCTTGCTGCTGCTTTCGGTCATGTTGAGCTAGTGAAAGACATACTTTCTGCATGCCCATCTCTTCTATTGTTGACAAATTCGAAGAATCAGGTTCCGCTTCATGTGGCAGCTTGTGGTGGCCATTTAGCAGTTGTTGAGGCTCTTGTTGCATCGGTAACATTTTTTTCAGCTCAAGTGTCTAAAGAAGAAGATAGGGAGAGACTGAATGTATATGGTCTCAAGGACAAGAATGGAGATACTCCTCTGCACTTAGCCTTAAAAGACCTCCATGAAAAAAAAGAGGTATTATTACACATAAGATGAGAAGATATTATTATTATTTTGGAGATTTTGTCTATGAGGAGTTAGGGTATAAGAAAAAGAATCCTGAAGTTTGTTATCATGTTAAAATATCAATCAACTGACTTAAGCTAAATTTAAATGACCGTAGGACATTCTTTATTAGTTCATCGTATCTCTCAGGACAAAGCCTTGTGTTTATGAGAGGAAAACTTATGGCTAGAATGTTATTGCATCAATTTTCTCTCAAGCTATCAATGTCTGCACCTAGACCTTGACTTGTTAGTTTAACTCCATGTTTTTTTTGTTTGTGTGCTTGTAGTCCTTGTTAAATCAGCATCGCCCCAGATACCCAAGTGTTTCGGGCCTTATTAAGTATCTACAACGTATCAGATGCAGCTCATTTCCTGATGCATCAACACGCTTGATAGAAACAGCTGTCTGCCTGGTGAATGCGAACCAAGGTGCTTCATTTCTCGCGAACAGTGAGAAAATATCTCCCTTGTATTTGGCAGTTGAAGCTGGTAATCTATCACTTGTGAATGCAATGTTGAACCACCTTGGTAATAACGTCCAAGGAAAAACCTCTAACTTAGCCTCGCAATTGGAAGGCAGAAAATCGCTTGTGCACGTGGCTCTTAAGGCCAAGAATACTGGTATGTTTTCAGAATTAAGCTGTTCAGATTTATGTGCTCAAATAATCTAATGGAAGTTCTTACTTGTTTGTGGCAGATGTTCTTGATGTTATTCTGAATAAATTCCCGAGTCTTGTCGAAGAACCAGATGAAGAAGGGCGAACTAGTCTTTCGGTTGGAGCATCTGTAGGGTTTAAAGAAGGAGTATGCAAACTTTTAGACCTACCAACCTCTAGTGTCTTTAAATGCGACAAAGATGGTTCTTATCCAATTCATAGGGCAGTGGAGAAAGGTCATGAGGATGGTGTTAAAGAGCTGCTAAAACGTTTTCCGGATTCAATAGAGCAGCTTAACAAAAAAGGTCAGAACAGTCTTCACATCGCAGCAAAGAGTGGGAAAGCTACATTTTTTCTTATGAATTATATCTCGAGACTCGATATGAAGAATCATCTGATTGAGGAGCAAGATGTTGATGGGAATACACCTTTGCACCTGGCCACCATAAATTGGCGTCCTCAAAGTGTTTGGGCGCTTACTAATCTTTCTTCAACCAGAACAAAAGTCCTAAATATACAGAACAAAGAAGGCTTGAGAGCTCTGGAAATTGCGGAGTTAAGGCTACAGCCTGACTACGTTTTACGGGAGGTATAACATCTCTGTTTCTTTATAGTCGTTTTTGTTCGACTATCAAACCATATAATGCTTATTGCCTTTTCTCTATCTCCCTTGAATTAACAGAGAATGACATTGATGGCCTTGCTAAGCGTTTACAAACCAAAAGCCTTTTCGTGGATACCGACGAGTGGGATGACATTAAAAAGTAGATTAAAGAAATTATGTGATTGTGATAGATACAAAGACCGAGTCGACATTCTTCTACTGGTGGCAGCTCTTGTAGCCACCATGACGTTTGCTGCAGGCTTTACAATGCCAGGTGGTTTTAACAGCTCTGCTCCAAACTCGGGCATGGCCATTTTGGTCGATGATGAAAACCTCTCAAGTTTTCTGGTGATGGATGCTATGGCAATGTATAGCTCGGTTGTCGCAATACTTGCTCTTATCTGGGCACAGTTAGGAGATCAAGAACTCTCGCACAAAGCGTTGCATTTGGCTTTACCTTCACTCTTCGTTGCTCTAACTTCCATGTCATGGGCATTCTATTATGGCTTGCGGGCTACAACAATGCCAAACAGCTCGCTTACAAGCTCCATTGCCACTATATTTTGGATCTTCATTTTTGTGATGATGGGCCTCCTTACCCCTTACGTGATCCCGCAGATTTCTGGCATTCCTATGATTCATTTTGTCACTAGCAAATATCTCTTTATGCTTTTAAGGTTTGTTAATGAAGACGATGATGAAAAACACAACACCTTTGGCTCTGGTTACTTGTGTGTGAAGAAGGCGGAGACCGTGGGATCCTCAAGCGGGGTTCAAGTGGAAAAGTCGAAAGAGGTTTAAAGAAACCTGTAATGCTTCATTCCCATCTTCTTGGTATGTGTCTGGTTTGGGTTGTTGAGCTACACTAGAGAGTACTCCCGACAAGTAAAAATGTTTAGATTAATCACTGGGAAAGTCTTCTTCTTTTTCATGTGTTGTGTGGTCCTGTGTCTTCTACTGTTTTAGAGAGTTCAATTCACTAGCTAGCTTTGTCCTATTGTTCACGTTCTTAAGTGTAAGGAAACATAGACAAAAAGAAATGTACATTTGTGTTAGTAACAAATCAGGTTTTTGTTGGGTTATATATTTTGGTGTGGAGGATTTACTGTCAAGTTGAGTTATAAAGTGCACACAAGTCAATATATGATAATACGGTGTCGTTTTTTAAAGAAGGCTTTTTATGAAAATGGCCTAAACTCTCACAAACTTTATGGGCCCATAAACTTAACACCTAAAATGGAGTCTTCACCTCAAACTTCCCGCCGGCGACATACCTGTTTTTTCCGGCTGCCTCTTCATGGGGCTTCGCGCCTAGTCGGCGGCACTGGAATTG